CCCTTCCCCACCTAGGCAGAGCTCAGGCGGGCTCAGGCATCGGTCTCCCCTCCTGGGATCGTGTAGTAATTTTTGTGTCAGAAGGGGTCACAGTGCAATGAAGTTTGAGAACCCCTGAATTAGTATAAATAAAGCACCCAAGAATACAGCAGACGGAAAAATCTTGCCATTGGCAGAGGAATGGACTTAGGTGACCTGATGTTGATATTTGTCTATAATGTCTGTACTACTTTAAGTGAGGGATTTCCTGCCTCGATGGAATGAGGGACACACTTCTCAGCACCTTTTCTGACTGCTTTGTGCTGCCATGCAAAGCAGCCCGAAAGCTGTCCTCATGGAGCAGTCAAGGATTCCTGCTGACACAGGGGTATTGCAAAGACAGGGTAACTAGCTCTGTGCTACCCATCCTTCACCTCTGCCTAGGGGCATGTTGGGGCCCGAGAGAGCTAGGGATAGGGCATGCGTGGGGTGGGGCAGAGCGCCTGTCTCTTCACCAGATCATCAGATGGCACAGCAGCTGGCTGCAGACAGTTTCACTTAGCACAGACCTGAGGCTACTCTAAGATATGCCTGCGGCAGTTTCGACCTCTCGCTGACCTAAAATTGAGGGACTGGAAAGATAGCTTTGGTCCACCTACTCCCTTTTTTTTTTTTCTTCAGCTGCACCAAGTGTAAACTCGGTACACCTCAGGATAGAGCCCAACGGCTACAGTATTAAGGCTATCTATTTACTGCTTAGTGTTTTCAAATCCTGTCACCAAAAGCCAACCATGATAGAGTATCGGGAAAGGGTATTTTTGAGTGCTTCTAGAGCAAGAATTTGCATCTAACAGGGACTGTCTAGCCTGTCCTACTCTGACTTATTGATGCCTGTTATCTCCCTGGAAACACATTCCCTTTTTAATATAAGAATGGGAAAAAGTTTGGATCTAAGTTTGATCAATATTAAAACAAAACCTGTCTAGCTGCTGGCTAAGTAGCACAAAGTGCAAGATTGGTGCCAATAAGTTTATATTTTTATAAGGTTCAAAGATACTGGTGTAATTACACCAAATGTTTGAAAATTAGCTGAACTACCTAGATCTTTTGGTTCTAAAAAGACTAACTTGAAAATATCACCCGAACAGGCTTTCACAGGATTTTCACTACTTCCTAGTTCTAGTCAGACCAGATGTTTAGGGATGGACCCAAACCAAAATCTTTTGATCTGAATAATCTCCTCTGATTCTGTTCTCACTTATTCTAGTTTAAATCAGAAGTAATTCCATTGAATGTACTGGAATTAAGAGCATGAAACCAGGATGAGAGCAGAATTGAGCCCAAAATCTTTACAGCAGTGTAATTAGCATTTTGTTCTTATCTGACTGTTCTAGTAACAGTTTAAAAATATGATTACTACAGGCAAATACAATGCAATTAACATAACTCTGGAACAGGAGAGACTTGTGGGATATGGATTACGTATCTGATGATGGGGAAAGATGTGGGGATGTATCATCCCTACACCAACCTAATAAAAAGTTCCATGAGGAGGTAAGGGTCACGATGGGACACTTGCCAGGTAAACAAATCATGGCCTTATGTAAGGCCCCCTGGTGGTCTAGGATTATATAAGATAATCATGGCCTTATGTAAGGAACGGTTGAACCAATTGGTGTGGGGCTATACATGTGATAAACACATGATTCTCCCTCTTGTCCAATTGGTAGATGTGTGATTATAGCCTAATTGTGTTATGTAATGTTGAGAAAAACTATAAAAGAAAGCTTGTAATAAACAGCATTGGATTCAGCTTGCAACCACATTGGTCGTGTGCTTTATCCGCTCCGCGTGGAACCCCACAAATGGTGACCCCGACGTGATTCGGCTTGGACATCAAGGCAGCCAGGACTTTGCCCAGAGTGAGCTAGCAAAGATCATACTAGACACAGCCGCCAGTGGAGCAGGGATCAATGTTCTCAGACAGTAGACCCAACAGGTGTTGTCTCAGAAGCTGAGCAAAGAGAAAGCAGATCCAACCAGAAAAAGGATCTGAAAGGTCAGACCCTATGTCATCTCTCATGAAGAAACTGGAACAATTGAATTTAGATATTGAAAAGGCTCTCAATGCTGGCTCTTCTCCTTCCAGCACTCCTTCTACCAAAAAGCGCAAACAGCCATGCCCTGTTAAGGTGGAGGCAGGCCTTCTTCACAGAGATCATCAGAGAAAGGGAATCTGTGGGAATAAGAGGGCAGGCTACCAAGATTTAGATGGTTTGCCAAGCTCAGTGTCAACTGGAGCACGACCAAAAACTGAAAAGGCATTGAGAAAAGGCGGAGGTGGCAGCCGCGGCAGGAGGTACTGGAGGATACCGGCTCCTGGTCGTCCGAGAGAGACGTTCGTGAGCTCACAGGCAGCCGACTGAAGCGTTCGGTAAGAAAAGGCGGAGGTGGCAGCCGCGGCAGGAGGTACCGGAGGATACCGGCTCCTGGTCGTCCGAGAGAGACGTTCGTGAGCTCACAGGTGAGCGGCTGCATTTAATAAAATGGGACTCTGCTTTGTCT